CTACAGCGACTATGCTCTTCTCCGCTGCTAGGAGGGCCTTCTCGAGGAGGTCAACAGTGAGAGTGGTGGGACAGACTAAGAGGAAGTGGTCCCTGACTACGCGAAGGGAGTCAGGGAGGCGGGTGACTATATAATAGAGAGTGATGTACATGGGGGGGGTTCTTGGCGCAGAACTCAGCAGGAAGCGCGGCGCGGTAGCGAGTGTCACTAGTGCGGAGGTGCGTAATGAGGTCAGCGACTTTGGGAAAGGCAGCAAGGTCAGGGAAGAGGTACGGTAGCATGAGGCGGCTCAGTGCAGCAGTGGCAGGGGAAGAGTAGCGCGCAACTACAGCGTCGTACAAGGTCTGAGCACTCTTGTATTGACTAAAGTGCGCGTGCTCCGTGGTAGGCAGGTGGCGACGCACAGCAAGACGTGCAGCAGCATCGCGCGTGGCCCACTGGGAGCGAACAGTGGGGTGAGCATCAGCAGCAGGGGCAGGAGAGGCGCCAGAGGTGAGGTCAAAGAGAGAGAGACCGTCTGCCCTATCGCACTGTAAGAACAGCTGCAGGTCGTCGACCCAGACCTCAAAGTCAATGGCTCGACCCTCAGTGTCAAAAGCGAGGACACTAGGGGTAGCCATGACAACAGTAGACCAGCAGTGCAAGCAGTAGGGGGAGGGAACCGCAGTGACAGAGGGGCTGTGCTTACCGGACAGGGCGGCTCGGGCGGCTCAGCGGTAGGGCGGCTCGGCAGCTCGGCGGCTCGGCTGCACGGCGGCTGGGCGGCTCGGCTGCAGGGCGACCCGGCGGCTTGGCGGCTCGGCTGCTCTGCTGCTGGGCGGCTCGGTTGTGCTGCTGCAGGGCGGCGCGGCGGTCGGCGGCTCGGCTGGCAGGGGCGGCTCGGGCGGCGGGCGGCGCTGCAGTAGTTGAAGGCGGCGGGGCCGCAACTGAAGGCGGCGGGGCCGCAAGTGAGAGCGGCGGGCCGCAGGTGAGGGTGGGGACGGGCCGCAACTGAAGGCGGCGGGGCCGCAGGTGAGGGCGGCGGGGCCGCAACTGAGGGCGGTGGGGCCGCAACTGAGGGCGGCGGGGCCGCAACTGAGGGCGGCGGGGCCGCAGGTGAGGGCGGCGGGGCCGCAACTGAGGGCGGCGGGGCCGCAGGTGAAGGCGGCGGGGCCGCAACGGAGGACGGCGGGGCCGTAGGTGAGGGCGGCGGGGCCGCAAATGAGGGCGGTGAGGCCGCAGGTGAGGGCGGCAACGGGGCCGCAGCTGAGGGCGGCGTCGGGGCCGCAGGGGAGAGCGGCGACGGGCCGCAGGTGAGGGCGGCGACGGGGCCGCAGCTGAGGGCGGCGACGGGCCGCAGGTGAGAGCGGCGACGGGGCCGCAGCTGAGGGCGGCGGCGGGGCCGCAAATGAGGGCGGCGGGGCTGCAACAGAGGGCGGCGGGGCCGCAAGTGAGGGCGGCGGGGCCGCAATTGAGGGCGGCGACGGGCCGCAGGTGAGGGCGGCGACGGGGCCGTAGGTGAGGGCGGCGACGGGGCCGCAACCGAGGGCGGCGACGGGCCGCAAGTGAGGGTGGTGGGGCCACAAGTGAGGGCGGCGGGGCCGCAAGTGAGGGCGGCGGGGCCGCAAGGGAGGCCGCTAGGGCGGCTCGACGAATGCAGAGAGGGGAGCGCGACTCGGGGAGCGCGCTCCGGGCAGGAAAAAAAAAGTTCGATGTGGTGGGCCCTAAGGCACAGTTCCCTTGAGGGAACCTGCTCTGATACCATGAGAAACTTAGAACGAGAATGATGGACTAAGGAATGGAAGTGATACAAATATGCAACCCTAGAAATGTGTACCCCATATAGGCTACCCCACTATAGCCTACACAATATTATAAATTTGACAGAAACTTAGTCCAACAAATTTGAGTTATTTCAGCCTATAATTTTCCTAGACTCCGTCCTTAGTCTCTAACACAGCCGAAGAGAAGAACTAGGAGGAAACTGCAGGAGGGAGGGGAAGCCAGTAGGTGAAGCAGGGCGAGGCCGCCTAGTCAAGGCTGTCGTGTCCTCCACTAGAGTGACCTCCACGCCCACATCGCTTGCACCTCCTGGAGCCGACACCACCAGCTCCAGCAGCCACAGTACCCTCACGCTCCACACCTGCACCTTCCGCACCCCCAGACACCACAGAGACTGGACACTGCGACATACCTGACGGGGTAGGACGCGAAGGAGGGGGGGCTACCGGGGCGACTATGGGGGGCTCAAGGGTGAATAACAGTAGGGGGAAAATTACCTGAGTACCTCGGTGGGGCCGACTCCTGTAGTGACAGACAGACTCGTCGAAAGTGACGTCCTAAGAAGCGAAGAACAGGTAGGCAAAAAAACGTCCAAAGGGAAGCCAAGAAAGAGGCAGGCATGCGGAGACAACTTGTTTGCGCTAGGGGCGCGAACGTAAGCTAGAGAACCCAAGACACAAAAATCAGCTGCTACACTTAGGCAACATGTCCAAAGGGAGACGGGCATCACCCGTGGCCGTGCGTAATTTGGCCATAGGTTCACCTGGTGCGAGGCGTAGCGGACTGCCAGATGCCACATGAACTGGGGGCACCGGCGTGGCACATGGAGGTCCGGACACCTCCATGACCAGGCCGATGCGACACTCGGCTACCCCGTTCTACCGCGGCAAGTCTGGTAGTGTGTAAGAATGGATAATACCACGACCCTGACAGCACATCTCCAGGCGAGTGGAAGAAAACTCACCACCACGGTCCGAGAGTAGGCGGAGCCCACACAGGCTCTAGGATCCACCCCTCTCTAGTAGCCATGGCTCGAGGACGGTAGGCACGTCGGCCTTCTGTCGCAAAGGGAAAGCTAAGGTGTCGCGGGAGTAGTTGTCCACCACAATCAGGAAGTGGCGCTCCTTACGTGGCCAAGGACCGGAAGGGGCTCTAGATCTCCAAGTGCAGGGTTCGGAAGGGTGTCGTCGTGAGGGGGAACGAGGAGGAGTGAGGGGCAGCGGGATGCCGACCCTCGAAACAAGGAGTGCACGGCGAGCGAGGAAGCGGGGCAAGCGACTCTGGGAGATATGAGAACAGGCGGTGACGTACCATCCTACTGAAACATGGGAAGGATGGGTAACCTATATGGTGGTGCCAAAGGATCGACGGGTGGGTGAGTGACCAACAATCGCACGACACAGCAGCTACCTGACCTGACCCGACCTGACCAAGTGTGGTGGGACCCAGTGTGCAGTGAGTACATACCAGAGCCCGGCTCTCTGTGGAAAGTGGCCAGCGGCGCCCTAGTGATATCGACTGTGCATGAGGCAACAGGCTCGTCGAGTGGGGAAGTAGTGACTACACCTAGGTCGTGGAGGTGACTTACACCCACAAGGATCCTAGAGAACGAGGGGGTGTAGTAACCTGTGAGAAACCCTAAGGGAACCGCCGGACACGGGAGAGTGGTGGTGCTGTGGGCAACTATAGGTCCCGCAGAAGGGTCAGCCAAGGCGATTGTAACTAGAGTGCGCAGTGGGGTGAGGTCGGTGCAGTCACGAAAGAAATAGCTGGACGCTCCAGTGTCTAAGGTGAAGGAACGCTGTGCAGTTTGTGAGGGCGCACCCGAGCCAGCGATAAAGGCCAGTATTAGACTAGTGGTAGCTGCACCTCCCACATAAAGACCCTCAGAGGTGCCTAGACTGGAAACTACACACGCACCAAGACTGGAAACAGAGGTGTCTACTCGGGCGGCTAGGAAAGGTCCTAGATCTGGTAGGGGCATGGTAGGCATGGTAGGCATGGTAGGCATGGTAGGGATGGTAGGCATGGTAGGCACGGTAGGCATGGCAGGCATGGTAGGGATGGCAGGCATGGTAGGCACAATACATGGTAGGCACGGTAGGCATGGTAGGCATAGTAGGCATGGTAGGCATGGTAGGCACGGTAGGCATGGTAGGCATGGTAGGCATGCTAGGCACGGTAGGCACGGTAGGCATGGTAGGCGTGGTAGGCATGGTAGGCATGGTAGGCACGGTGGTAGGTACGGTAGGCATGGTAGGCATGGTAGGCATGGAAGGCATGGTAGGTACGGTACATGGTAGGCACGGTAGGCATGGTAGGCACGGTAGGAATGGTAGGCATGGTAGGCACGGTATAGATGGTAGGCACAGTAGGCATGGCAAGCACGGTAGGCATGGTAGGCATGGTAGGCATGGTACGCACGGTAGGCAGGGTAGGCATGGTAGGCATGGTAGGCACGGTAGGCATAGTAGGCACGGTAGGCACGGTAGGCATGGTAGGCATGGTAGGCACGGTAGGCATGGTAGGCATGGTAGGCATGGTAGGCACGGTAGGCATGGTAGGCATGGCTAAGTTGGAATGTACTCTAAGGGGCTTTAGCGTTCAGCGTTCATACGCTAGCGTGTACATGCAATACGCGAAACGCTAGCGAATACGCTATACGCAAAGACACCATTTTTCTACAAACACACCAAAAGATGTGAAATGGCACGGTGAGAAATTCTGTGACGTCAGATTGCATGTCCAAGGTCTACGGTAGCAGGAAATTAGATTCATGTCCTGGTGTTGCGATTTCACTTTCACATGTTGCACGTTCGCACATTCATGGTCACGTACATCAAGTCGCGTTTGCACGTTTGTACATTTCTATCCCAACACATTACCGCATTCAAACCCACAGCATTCATTCAGTCCAACCATTCATGCTCAATCTCCCGCTACTCGTCATGCTAATTATCAACTTATCAAAACGTCCATCTTATTCGGTTTCCCTACCCCGCTACCAACAACTGGCCTCATTGCGATGGCATCAAGCAGTCCGCCTCTCAAGCCGCCTTCCGTTCAGTCAGTGGAGAGTTCTATGGTTCGTCCAGAAGGGACAAGGGAGTACCTTCCTGATCTAGTCCACGACGTCTTTAAGCACTTCAGTCTCATCAAGCGCGAAGAGGGCAAGGCACAGCAGTGTCTTTCCAGGTGCCACCATCCGATGCGCTCAGCACCTAAGATCACGGAAGAAGATGAAGCGCCGCGAGGTGACGCTCTGCAAAAAGGCACCTGTTGATGTTTGCCTCGTGATGCACAAGACGTACGAGGGGCAAGCTCCTGCGACAGAAGAGAAAGAGAGCACGGTGCTGGCTGCTATAGCGTTGGTCAAAGCTGGTGGCAAACGGGCCCGCATAACCGAGTACCTCGAGGGCGACGCTGCTGCGGCAAAATGTGAAACACATAAAGGCCTTGCGCTCATGTTTGCCGCATTTCGCCTCCCGGAGATCCTCATCGACCATCTGCTCTTCGTCAACTCTATGCACCACGTTGCACGCGGCGGTCATGGCTACGTCCCCCCACATTGCATGTACATCGGCGGGGCCGGACTGCTCGCTTGCCGCAAGGGTATTGAGAACGGCATGATGGGGATCAAGGCTAGCTGGAAGAAGACGGGTGTTACCATCGCGTCCGACATGATGACGGACAAGTGTGGCAGGCTGCAGGCGAATGTCCTCCTCGTCAATGACGCTTGCGCCGTCCTGAAGGAGTGTGTGGACTGCAACATGGAGAAGAAGACGGGGATATGTCGCGTGGTTACTGAAACCCGTCGTGGAGAAAATGGGACCTGTGAACATCGTCGCGCTCTATATGGATGGGGGTTTTAACTACGCATCGGTGTGCCAGAAGCTGATTGAGATGCGGCCCCACATTCAGCAGGTTCCTTGTGCCACCCACGGCATGGACCTGATGATGAAGGACGTGGGGAAAATGGGGTGGGCGAAAAAGGTGGTTGACTATGGTGCGGAGATAAGTACCTTCACCCACAACCATCATTGGACGCGCTGTTATTTGCAGAACCCGGAGTTCGTGAGGGGAATGTGTTGTAGCCGCACCCGCGGGGACCCACTTTAGGACCCAATACATTGCTATCTTTCGTCTCTGTCAGCTCCGCTCCACCCTTCCGCAAATGGTCCTCGGAAATGAGTGGAAGGAGTGGGCTGCTGGCTCGCGCAAGGTGGCTGCAGAGAAGTTCGCCGCGTTGGTACTCGACTCGACTTGGTGGAAAACAGCCGAGTTTTTCACCAAGCTGCTGCAGCTCCCTTTCGAGGCGATGCGCAAGACGGACGGGGAGGCAAAAGGGATGATGGGCAGGATCTACGACGTGATGCTCCAACGCACGGAGGATGTTGGGGCTCTCGTGGATGCGGATGAGAAGCAGTTGTGCTATAGCGAGAAGCAGCAGATCCGCCGGATCCTAAAAACTGGTGGGATGGGAGCCTTGCGTGCGCCATGCATGTGGCAGGCCATGCATGCCATCATCAACCTCGCGAACCAGGAAGAAGACATCTTTGGCAGCGACGCCGAATGCACGCACGTCTTCAAAGCGTTCCTTCACCAGCATGCGCAGTTTCTCGTTGGCCACGACGGAAAGGGGAGGGATGGGGCCTGTGATTACTTGGTTAAGTTGGGGGACGGGTTGAGGGATTTCTTGGACATGAATGGGAGTTTCGGGATGGCGGAGGCTGTGACACAAAGGGAGAAGGTGAAGGCGGGCACTTACAGCATGGTGAAGCGGTGGCAGTGGAAGGGGACAGATGCCCCCCGCCTTGCGTCCCTTGCCATCCGGATTCTCTCTCACAGCCCGTCTTGGCTCACTCAGTGAGCGTGGCTGGGCATCGTGGGACTCAGTCCACACTGCCCACAGGAACCGCTTAGGGTCCGCCAAGTGTGTGGATTTGGTGTTTGTTGCGCACAACTGGAACGTTCTACACAACTGGCACACGCGCAAGCATGCGTGTGGGAATGAGCTTGAGGCCCCCATCCTCGAAGGTTACAATGTGCCAGATGAGGAGGAGGAGGAGGAGGAGGAGGAGGAGGAGGAGGAGGAGGAGGAGGAGGAGGAGGAGGAGGAGGAGGAGGAGGAGGAGGATGATGATGACGACGAAATCTTGGAGAACAAGTATGAATAGCAGTCGAAGAAGGAAGGGGGGGGGAGACGAGGGTGGGTAGTGGGGAGAGACTAGTATAAGACATCCCTGATTTTGTATGACATTGCTAATTATATTATGGGGAAGGGAAAAAAAAAAAAAACAGAAACGCACCCTGCACGAAACCCATCTGGACCGAACCCCAGGAGGATTTTTTAACGCTGCCCGGGAAAGCTTTTTCCTGCCCAGAAAAGCGTATCCTTGATTAGGACGCTCCAGCGTATAGCGTGCAAACGCTGGCGTATACACGAAACACGTATATACGCCAAACGCGTTTATGCCAACCTTAAGGCACGGTAGGCATGGTTAGGCATGGCAGGCATGGTAGGCACGGTAGGCATCGTAGGAACGGTAGGCATAGTAGGCATGGTAGGCATGGTAGGCATGGTAGGCCTGGTAGGCATGGTAGGCATGGTAGGCATGGTAGGCATGGTAGGCATGGTAGGCATGGTAGGCATTGTAGGCATGGTAGGGTAGCAACAACAGAAGTGCGGAGGCAGCAGCGTGGCACAGGGTGCCAGGAGATGTGGACGAGGGGGAGGGACAAGGGTAGTAGGTGAGATTGAGAGGAGATGAGTGGGGGAGCAAGGAGAGACGGGGAAATATGGAGGTGGGCTTAGGCAAATGGCGGCGAGGGATGACGCGCATTCGCAAAGCAGAGAAGGGCGGATTTTAGCATGTTGCTTTGCAGAAACGATGGCAGGCAGTGGCGCGGGGAACGGTGAGGTAGCACGGGGCACGACGGATGGGAATGAAGCGGATGAGAATGCAAGGGTCGACATGATGGGGAAGGAGTGAGTTACAAGGAGAAAGGGGCGAGGTATAGGAGGTGACGTGAAGGATACGAAGTGGTGGAGGCGGGTGGGAGTAGAAGGAAAGCATAGGAACACGACGGGGCACTGCATCGGGGCTGCATATGCGAACTAGACGCGTCTACGGGAGAAGCAGCGTAGTAGAGAGGATTAGAACCTAGGACCAGAAGATACGTTCATAAGAGCCTTAGGGCTTGAACTGCGATGAACTCGATTAGGGTTACGCAGGTTACATGCTGCACGCGTGGTACAGTGGCGACTCACCAGGCTGCGTGGAGCGCAAGACGCGCTCGAGTTGCGCCATCCAATCCGCTGACAAGCCCCGCCATTACCTTCCAACCAGCTGCAACTCTCGAGAATCTACCGACATTGCGATCTGTACGATCTTTTCATGGTGCAGGCGTTCCAACAAATGATACTCAAGTGCAGCTTTATGTGGTGTACCCGCTTAGCTGCACTAGATGACTCTATAGTTTATAAAATAAATTCTGCACTCATTTCAGAATCAAAATACGCTAGTATAACAAAGAGATGACTGAAGCTACACCCTAGTAAAATCACCTTCACATTCTCCTCCAATCTAATCTATTCGAGCATGACGCAGCCTCACAGCAGCCTCAATCCTTGAACAAGCAGAGAGGACATATTTGATCAAATAAGAGCAATGCAGCAAGGTGGCCTGCACCCATTCCCCTTCCATCCACCGATTCCAACCAGCATCCCAGACACCCTGACACGCAGGGTGCAAAAAGTGTTGCTCCGCTGTGCCATTTCACTCTCCCTTGTCTTCCCCTACCGCCATGCCATGCAAGCTGCATGCTAGTGGGTATGCTCTCCATGGTACTGTGCTTGCTGAGGCCTTGTACACCTTCACGCTTAACTCAGGTGCTTTACGCTGCTTCTTTCGCAACAGCACCACAGTCACACCACTCCCAGCACCAGTTGCAGTCTCTCTGGCTGACCCCTCTTGGGGCCCGGTTCTTGCACGTTCCTCTACTGTTCTCACGTGTCCGGCGGTTCCCTCTGGCTCACTGTCAGGTCTTCACCTCCCCTCGTTCTCTACGAACTTGGTGAGCAACGCCGTTCTTAAAGATGAATGGGTTGATACCTTCACCCCTAGAGGACAGCGTGTGGCAATCTGTAGTGCTCCCGGACTGGCCGTCACCTGTCCACGTTCACCCGTCGGCCTGGGTCGAGTCTGTACACACTGACTACTGCGCCTCCTCAGATAGCAGCGTCTGCGTCCGCGTCAGGTCAGCTAGCAGCCCCCTATTCGTGTCGCCATCTGTCGCACCAGACTCTCCTTTGGCACCTTCGCCCTCCCTTCCATGCCTCCGTGGCATGCACTTCCGTCTCCTTGTCTCTGGTCTTCCCAGGTCTCTCCCTCCCCTCCTACCCTCGCCTGCCCCTCCTTGCCTTCCCTGTGTCGAGGGACAGTAGCACGCTGCTCGTCACTTCTCCTCATTTCCCTGTGTCGAGGGGCAGTAGACTGCTCCCCTGCAGACTGTCCACATGGATGTGTGGGGTCCAGCCCGCGTCTGTGAGGATCTAGGATCGAGCTCAGAAAAGAGAATATGAATTGAATTGAATGATCACCTGGGTACAACGCGAGGCTATATATAGGCTCCACACAAGGCCCAGTAACCAGGTCTTACGCGAAGGTTCCGCGGGTCGCGAAGCGTCCCGAACAGATCCTTCCCGAATTCGATAGAAGGCAATTCGGTGGCAACCGAAAAGCCAGAATTCGGTTCACGCAACCTAGCTCGGTGCTATAACTATAATAAAATATAGGAAAGCACCTAACCTAGGAAATCAAGCAATTCATGCATGCATATAGTTATCCTATGCTAGAAATAGCATAATAAAGTAAAGGCAAGCAAGCATAGCTGGCATAAGCCGTCGTACTCGTACACGTCCCCCCCTCAAAGCTAGGTGGCGTAAGATAGACCCTGCTTGACAAGATAGTCCTTGAGAGCACGACGTGCGTTGCCCATATCAGCTTCTGCAACCCAACTATCTTCAGTGGGGTCGTATCCCTTCCAGCGTATCAGGAACTCGAGGGCCTTGCCGCTGCGGCGCGGATGAGTGAGAACGCCCTCGATCTCGTACTCTGGTTCATCCTGTATGAGAACAGGTGGTGGTGGCGGTAGTTGCCGTCCCTGGAACTGTTGGTTGGGGTCCTTGTAGGGCTTCAGTAGCTGGATATGGAAAGCATTGTGAAGCTTCCATGTATCTGGTAAGCGCAAGCGGAATGTAACAGGTGTCACGTGTGCCTCAACGAGAAAAGCACCACAGAAGCAAGGCCGGAGCTTGGATGGTAGGTGAGACAGGTTCAAGTTGCGCGTGTCAAGAAGCACCTGATCTCCGAATGCTACTGAGTGATCACGTCGCTGACGATCGGCATACTGCTTCTGGGAGTTCTGCATCGTGGTGAGACGTCGCTGAGTCTTCTCCCATAGCTGCTGCATGGTGGTGACGAAGTCATGTGCGGCTTGGACGTGTGCCGGTGTGGTTGGCTGCTGTGGTGTGAATGGTTCCCTGTGGCTGCATGTGAGTCGTTGTTGTAAGCGAACTCTAGGGTCGGTAACTGTGTGTCCCAGTGGCTGACATGGTCCTTGCAAGCTGTGCGCAGTAACTGTTCAACCACTTGATTGAGTCGCTCTTTCTGTCCGTTAGTCTGGGGTTGGTATGCTGAAGACATTGCAAGCTTTGTCCCCAATAGTCCCATGAACTCCTTCAGTTCATGGTAGGATGAGTACTGGCGCTGTAGTTAGTGCTGTCTGTTGGTTCAGTGTGCGGTAGTCGATGCACATCCGTAAACTACCGTCTAACTTTGGAGCGAGGAGAACCGGTGCACCGTAGGGAGAGGTGGATGGGCGGATCAGTTGTCTGTCCAGTAGATACTCTATCTGTTTTTTCATGTCTGTCAGTTGAGACGGACTTAGTCGGTATGGTGCACGTCAGACGGGTTTAGCACCTGGTTCCTCCACGATCTCGTGCTCGTGGGTGCGTGCTGGAGGTACGCCTGCGGGTAGGTCGTCGGGCATTATATCCTTGTACTGCTCCAAGACCTCCTCCTCTGCTGCTGCCATAACCAGTGCTAAGTAACCCGTGTTACTCTCGTTCACTGTCCGTTCGAACCGGGCCAGTATCGTTTCAGGAACGCTCCCTGTATCCGTCCAGTTTCGCAGCTCCACTCATTTCCCGTTGTTGTAGATGCACGTTTTCCGGTTGACCCAGTCGATCTCGGTGTTGAACCGCTTCAGAAAATCTCGCCCCGAGATGAAATCTAATCCCTTGATGTTCGTGATCGGCAACCTCGGCTTCCACCTCAACGCCCCTATCTGCAGCTGCAGTGTTGACTTTCCGTGGATGGGAAGATTCGTACTGTTCACCATCGTTGCTGTAAACTGGGTTTCTTCTGAGGATTCTCCAATTTTCTCCAACGTCCCGCAGTCACACACCGAGTGGGACGCAACACTGTCCACCAGGGCCTGGAGGCGACGCCCGTTGCAGATCACCTCGAGTACTAGTGGTTGCTGCTGCTCCGAGTATTCGTAGATGGTATCGCTTATAGGATCGTAGGGTACGTCGAACATGTTATCCCTAGGTCCTGCACTCAAAGATGCAGCTTTAGTATCAGTTTTAAACTGAGAAAGGTTAGAAGGATTTATCCGAGGCCGATTCGGCTTCTCTTGGGCCTGGAACCTTCCACTAAGCCTTTGCAGCTGTGTAGGCTTCATCTGTGGGGAACAGGGAGCCTTTAAACAGTGCTGCTGGGAGATAATATTAACTCCTCGGAACGCTCGACCCGTATTAGCGCTCTGGAGTATGTTGGATGCAAATTCACATTGCACTACATCCTGCCGTCTGTTTGTACGAGTACGCGTGTGCGAATGCATTTGGGTAAGGAGAATGTTCGTGTGTTTGTTTGCTTTCGCAGTTTTCGCTTGATGCATTTGCAGGTACTCGTGCAATGTGCGCTTCGGCACAACATTGTACGCGCTATGAAGAGTACAAGCAGAAAGGACGAGCTTGCAAAGGAACCCAAGATGGAAGCTTTGCGGTTCAACTTACTTGATTGCGCAGATTCAGTTCTATCCAACTCGAAATTGTACTGTTTTGTTTGGTTGACTATAGTGTAGCAGGGCAGGCACTATAGAGGTACAA